CTCTCTCTCTCTCTCTCTCTCTCTCTCTCTCTCTCTCCCCTTCCACTCACCAGATGGAGTTGGGCTTCTCGATCGACCAGCTTGGCTCCTGTCACTGTTTCAGTATTCTCATCATGAGAAGGCACTGCCATGTGTTCAGGGTTGGCCATTAGGAAAGTATAGGCAGCTTCGGCAGCTTTTTCCATCTGATTTGTCTAGAAGAAAGCATGAATGGAAAGTAGATCAATATTTGAAATCAAGTGTCCTGAAACTTGTAGCAAGGGGCTGAGCAGCCCAGAGCAAACCCTTCAAACGAGCTGAGTCAGCATTTGCAAGGGTCAGAATTCAGAGGGATAATTCAAACAAGAGCAGCCGTAAGAACATCTTTCCATTCTGGGATCTAGAAACCTGGATAAAGGAACTTGATCCTAAGTTTCCTTCTCTTGACCTGTCTTTTTCAAGTCTGTCTGTGTTTCTGGGAAACAGAATTCATATGCTTCATACTCTTCCCTTAATCACTGCCTGGTGCTGCAAGGGCTTCTCCAACTAGAAGACAACTTTGGGGCCTTTTCCTTTACCTTTTATCCTGAAAACAGGAGTGGGACCAACCTCCAGGTGCCCAAAGCATGTGTATGAGGATTGAAATGGAGGATCCTGAACTTGGAGAGACTTCTGCATAACTTTGCCTCACTTAAATCCAATTCATGCAAGAGTGAAGCCATTACCCCTGATGTCATTGGTCCTTCTTCAAAAATGGAGGACATACAACAAATAACACAGGTCAAATGTTCTTGGTTTTGAACTTTATAGGGTAAAAATGAAATAATGGCCCATTCTTTAAAAAAATGTACTTAGGAATCCCATTGTGTATTACATCCCTATCTGTAAGCTCAGGGCAATCAACTTGGCTAACCATTCCAATGGTTGCCTCACCTGATTCCTCTGAACCCTTTAAAGTCCAGTTGAAAGGCCATCCCTTCCAGGAAACCTTCTCTGATCCTTTCCTGATGATAATGTCTTTCTCTTTTGGACCTCAATGAGCTTACGTTCTACTGTGGGGTACAAGGTAGGCTGAGCAGCACATATCAAAAAGTTAATTTAAGGAGAGAGATAGTAACAGAAACAGGGAATATACTGAGAAAGGCTTCACAGAGCAGCTGAAACCTGAGCTGAGCCTAGTAGGAAGATATAAATTACAAGAGGTGAGACTCGGCTGGTGGCCACATGAGTGGAGAGAAGGGCACAAATGCCAGAGGAGTGGTGATAGTGGTGACAGGACTTAGAAAAAGCAGGCATAGGGAGCTCCTATTCAAACGGGCATGACAACAAGTAAAGAAATAGAAATAGAAAATATATGTAGAGGCAATGGAAGGTCATCTTGGGACAAGCCTTTGGCAGCTACAAATGGGACAAGCCTTTGGCAGCTACAAATGGGAGGTTCTGGAGTGTAGGGACTAGAGGAAAGACGGAGTCAGGTGCCCAGTTTGGGGAAATCACTTTGGCAGCCAAGTGGCGGATGGATTGGAGTGGGGAGAGATTTACATGGGGAGATGAGGTAGAAGGCTTTGCACTAGACCAGGTGAGAGGCGATGGCATCCTACCCCTGTATGAATGGAAACCAGGGCACACAGGGCATGGCAGAGAAGGAAATGAGCACTCACAAAGTGCCTACTGTGTGCAGGGCATTGTGCGAAGCCCTTTTTACAGACAGGATTTCATGTGATCTTCACAACAACCCTGCGAGGCAGATGCTACTTTTCTTAATTATGTTACTATTACATATTGTATATTGCATAATATTACTATTGTATTGTTATTTATATCATATTATTCTTGCTTATAGTTGAGGAAACTGAGGCAGACAGAGTTTAAGTGACGTGCCTGTGGATGAACAGCTAGTCACACAGAGGAAGGGAGAAATGGGGAGATTGGGCAGCAGAATTTGATCTGGGGTTGAGTAAAGAGGCACTGAGGTTTCCAGGCTGGGTGACTAGGAGGATGGGAGTGCCCCCAGCAGTCACAGAGAAGTTCAGAAGGAGGAATCTCAGGGTACAAAGGGATGAGCTCCAGTCTTCACCATGTCGTGGCTCAGATGCCACGGGCATCTCTTGAGCAGAGCAGCATATGACGCGTAGCTAAGTGGGCCTTCACATTCTCAAGGAATGTGGTCTAGAGACCTGGAAAGCAGTGGAATTCATGAGCATAGCACAGTAAGTTGGGGAAAGGAGAAAAACCCTCCAGTAGGCACCTTGGAATAACAAGGACAGGACCTGATGAGGGCCTGTAGATTGGTGGCATGGGTTGGCACAGCAACAAGTAAATATTTAAAAGAGTGAACTTTGTCATGGTCACACACAAACACTCAAATACTTAACAAAAAATGTCTAGCCTAGGAGTTATTAACTTGGGGGGGGTGTCCTATGAAATTAAAAAAATGGCAACAAATATAATTGGTTTCTTTTGAACTCCTATACATTTTATCTTCTGCATCTAAATTCATTAGTCTGAGAAGGAGTTTATAGGCTTCTCTGAACTGCCAAAGGGGCCTAGGACCCTGGTTTAGCCAGACAACAAGCACACACAAGGACCTGGAAAGCCTGCTCACATCCACTGGGCGCTCTGCATTTGGATGCCAGATAGATGTCATTCTGCTCCTCTTAGCCACCCTCAGCTCCAGGGGAAAAGCTGCCTAGCTCTCCAAATGGGCCACTGAACTGCCATGGGACAGGATTCCTACTTTGGAATTCCTTGAACAACTTTATTTTTCAATGCCCAAGTCTTCAAGCAGATGGTCACTTCTCCTCAAACCTTGATAAAAGTAAATTCTGGGGCTTGTGGTGAGGTCGAGGAAATTCCTTCTCCACAGGCTGGTTCTTTAGGCTGTGAACTCCCTCAGGAAACCCAAATCAGCTGCCAGGCCTGTTAAACTGGTCACGCTTTCCCCAGGAGTTCTTTACTCTTATGTTCATGTTTGAAATAATTCTCTATACCAGAGTGTCAGGAAAGAGCTCAGAGAACATGCTCATTAAATGCACACACACACACATGCTTTTAGTAGCGGGCAGCTCTGTTCCACACTTGCTAAGAAATAGGTTTCAGCTGTGGCCATGAGAGCTGGCACTATACACAGAAACCCTACAAACAAAAGAAAATAGTTACCAGTTAATATCTCCAAAGCAGATTTTTTTTTGGTTGTTGTTGTTTTTGCTAAGCAATGAGGTTAAGTGACTTACCCAGGGTCACACAGCTAGTAAGTGTCAAGTGTCTGAGGTCGGATTTAAACTCAGGTCCTACTGACTCCAGGGCTGGTGCTCTATCTACTGTGCCACCTAGCGGCCCCTAGATTTTTGTTGTTGTTACACTTTTTGGGACTTTGGGGTTTTCTTGGCAAAGATACTAGAGTGCTTTGCCATTCCTGCTCTAGTACGTTTTACTGGTGAGGAAACTGAGGCAAACAGGGTGAAGCGACTTGTCCAGGGTCAAACAGCTAGTAAGTGTCTGAGGTCAGATTTGAACTCAGGTCTTCCTCACCCCAGGTGATGAAGTACAGTGTGGAGTAGAACCGCCCTCCTCCCCTGGGAGGGCATTTCGTCACCAGGTCTTGGGACGTTTCATCTCTAACTACGGTGTCTTTCCGGAAAAGCCTGGAGAGATGGGGCATCACATTCATTTCACTGAAAGTGAAATGAATGCTAACAGAATCCCACACCAAAGGCAGCCAGGGAGTCCTTTCTTGCCTGGCTCTCCTTCAGCACACACCAGATTTCAGGAGCTCCAAACAATGGTCATTGGGGTCCAGTCCCAGCTCCACTCCCTTCATCTTGTCCCTGTGTCCCTGTGTGGTCTCCCTGAGGCTCAAGTGTTGGTCCTGCCACAGGGCTGACCCTTCTCTGAGAATCGGATCACGTGTCTCAGTGGGGATGACCTCTGACAGCATCGTCTACTATAGCTTCATTTTAGAGAAAAAGGAAACTGAGGCCAAAGTGGGGCGGGTGGGAGAGAGGCAAGAGAGGCAGAGAGAGAAAGAAGGTGGGGAGACAGAGACAGACAGAGACGAGGAGACACAGAGAGAAAGCGCCTTGCTTGGGCTTGTGTGCTTGGTGAGCAGCTGAATCACGACTTGACCCGGGTCTCCTGACACTGTCTCCAGGGTTCTGTACTCTCACCTGGGCTGCCTGCGAATGACTCAGAGGGTTTCCTGTTTTAGCCATTTCTTTTAAACCTGGTTCAAAAGTTTGGTGGCACCCTCAGTAAACAGCCCAGCGCCGTCGGTGAACAGCGTTTCCTACGGTGGCAGGAACGGAAAGGGATGGGGAGCGACAGAGTCTCCTTCTCTGCCCTCACACTCTCAGCTGTCGCTGCTCCTCAGGTCAGGAAAAAATAAAAAGCATAGATTTCAAACTGAAAGGAACTTATGGGGTCATCTAGTCCAACCACCTCCATTTTACAGATGAAGAAACTGAGACACAGACAAAGGGATTCTCCTGAGGTCAGACAAGTATTCCGTGGCTGAACCTGTATTTAAATCTAGGGCTTGTAATTCAAATAGGACAGCTAGGTGGTTCAGTGGATAGAACACTGGCCTAGAATCAAGAAGACCTGAGTTCATATATGGCCTCAGACTCTTACTAGCTGTGTGACCCTGGGTAAGTCACTTAGCCCTATTTGCCTCAGTTTCTTTATCTGTCAAATGAGCTGGAAAAGGAAATGGCAAAACACTCCAGTCTCTGTGCTAAGAAAACCCCAAATGGGGTCATGAAGAGTCAGATACGAATGAAAAACAACAATTTAGAACTCAAAACCCCAAGATTATTGAGTCAACAGGCCCCATATTTTCCCAAAGAACCACATAGATCTATATATTTCAAATATTTTGAGTATAAAGCGGAAGACAAGCTACAACTATGTGCTCCCCCACAGTGCCTACAAAATGTGTAGGAGCCACTAATGTGGGAGAAACCTCAGAGGTCCATTTTATAGAAGGAAATGAGGCCCAGAAGGGGGAATGACTGGTCTAAGGTCACACAGATCCGAGATTCGAACTGACATCCTCTGACACTAGGTTTTGTTTTTTTTTTTGATAGCCAAGAACAAGCGTTCTTAAGCTTTTTGGTGTCATGGACCCTTTGGCAGGCTAGGGAAGCATTTGCTCCTTCTCAGAGAAATGTTCTCAAGTGCATCATGCCTTTCAAAGGAAACCAATTATATTGAAATA